GAGGGTAAAAAGCTAAGACCTCCCGTAACTTTTTTTATCATTGCTAAACTCCCCTAAAGTTTGGTAAATACAATAACCTCCAATGAACTTTCTAACACAATTGCAAGTAGACATTATGTTAGAATCTTTTAACAAAAAGCACAAAAATGTCCAAAAAACACATGTAGTTACTTTTGATGAAAATGTTTAATTTCCATTTTTTCTTCGTATCAATCACTACCCCCAATCCCTTATAATCCTTTTTTTTTATAATTGATGTATTTTTCCAGAGTTAAATAATTGATGTATCAAACACATGTAGTTAAATAACATTTTTTTTTACATTGACATTTTTTTTTTACAATTATGAACAAAAATAATGAAGTTTTGTGTCTTTTTTGTAATAAGTATTCAATGAGAAATAAGAGTCATTTCCTATAAACATTAAGTGAGAAAACAAATTTACATATTTACCATTGCTCATTCTCTAATTCAAACCTTATAGATTGAGTATTTTAGTATAGTGAAAATTCCAGCATCCAGCCGCATCTATTCGTACTTTTATATACAGTATAGATACTTGACTAGTATGTTACTCTTTGTAGAAAGAGATATTGTTCCCAGTCTTTTTTAACTTTGTATTATTATTATTTTTCTTTAGGCTCAACAACTTGTGTGCCATATAATTTTCATTATAATTGGTGTAAAGCATCATTTTAACTAGTATGATGCTTTATTTATTTTTTTAAATACAAAATAATTATATTAGCTAGCAGAAATATCAACAAAGTTCAAAACATCAGGCATCCATGGGGATAATCAGCAAAATAAAACCAATAAATTTTTGCTATATGGGCTACTTAATGAACAAGGACATTGTACTTCTTATTTACATAGCAAAGGGAGACAAGATTAAATTGTAAAAAAGATACTGACAAAAAAATGTAAAATAAAAAAGATGTTGTTTGGTATTTAACAAAATCCATAGGCAATAATACCAAGAGATATAAGCTTGGGACTATAATGCTTGAATCATTTTCCAAAAATCCAAACAGATCGATATATTACTTTTATCTCACTGAGCAACAAGTTGGATTCCTTAGAAAATAGCATGTGGAGTTGGAATTGGAATCATAATAAAAATCCATCCAAAATAGAATCATAACGGTATATTCCTCAAACCTATTTGGTTTAGATGAGAATTGGAGTAGTTGAAATCACAGTTAGTTGGAATGGATTCTCATTCCCAAGAGAGGGAAGGAATGGGCCATTCCCTCAAATGGGATAATGTCATTTCACTAATAATGGGAATGAGGTTCTAATAATACAACTCATAGTTACAAAACAAGCAAATGCAAATCTTAAGAAGGTGCAAAATTTTATATGGTTTAGTTTTGCACTACAAGCATATAAAAACATAGCACACAAAACTGCATAAAATGAAGAAACATGGTCCAACACAACCAAGATTACATATATAGAATCGGAGTTTAAAAACTCAAATTGCATTATACTTATCTTCAATACAAGAGTATGAAAACATATAGCCTACAAAACTACATAAAGCGAAGAGAAAGGTCCAACCTGGGCCCAACACAACCAAAATTATATAGATAGAATCGGGGTTTAAGAATTCAAATTGGCTTATAGTTATCTTCAACCTGACCTAACCAATTAGGAGAAGGCTAGTTAATATGACGTTACAATTAAAATGATGAAAGTGATTTGATTGGTCACCTCTTTTATGATATCAGTTAATTGCTGTAACTTTTTTCAATATCATGTCTTTCATGTGTCATACTCAAACCCTAAGATGAAAATAATGAACCCAAAATACAATTTGCAGCATGTAGAGATTATCGTTGTTTTAGGATGAAACTTACAGTTGTGATACACCAGCTATTTTTCTGAATATGAAACCACTTTGGAGTATAAATACATACCCCATATTGTATTTTTATGACATTTTACGTCATGTACTAATGTATGTTTAAATATTGCATTAGTTTAATTTGTTTAGTTCCACCCCAAAAACAAAAGACAATGGGGAGTAAACATGATTTTTTTTGCACTTATCTATTTGCATCGATCATAAACGATTTGACTAAATATTTCAGGAGTATTTTGAATGGTGCATGTTGATTGCAGGTGAGGTGTTGTTGTTTTAATTGATGGAATTTATGAAGGATTAAATGCAAAATTGAGCTTATAAACAAATGCCTCAAAACAAAATGTTAACAAGAAAAGTAAGACTAAGATAGAATAGGTGACATTTTTTCTAGTACATTGGTTCAATAAGTCATAACAATTAAGAAATTGGGGAGGATGTCACAAGAAACATTAAAGCAAGCTGGAGCAAAATGAAGGGGTAAACCTATATTTTTATTTGATATGCGAATGTCATTTAGATTAAACAGAAATTTTATAAAACAACCTTAAGTGTAGCACATATGCAAATGCTAAGATGGATGATGCGGAAAATTAAAACCATTGGGGTAATGAATAAATCATCCATATGAACCTAAGAATATATCTAATAGGTGATAAAATGAGAGAGAATAGACTAAGATGGTTTAGTCACATGTATAGAAGTGGAAGGATATTTGTTACAAGTGGAAGGAAAGAGCTATGGGTAAACAAAAAGGATACAGATATAAGTAGTAAAAAATGATTTAAGCATTAATAATTTAAGATTGGACATAACTTTAAATGGAATGAATTGGCTAAACTGAATTTATTTAGCCGACCCATATAGTTGGGATAAGGCATGAAAAATGATAATGATTTTTTTCCACACATTTGTTTCAACAAGTAAAAGAAAAAAAAAAAAAAATATATATATATATATATATAAGATCTCAATATAAAGTGCTTAAAAGTAGTTGACTTATTTACATGAATCAGTGGATGGAGTAAATGTTTGTATCCAATTTTGGAACGAAGTGTTGCATCCATTTTGATTGGGACTTGGGAACGAATTAACATAAAATTTAATGCACATTTCAGAATTTTTTTTAAAAAGAAACTTATACGTAAAACAAATATTTTCAATATAAAATGGTTTATTTACAAGAATCATTATTTGAAGATCACATCTATGCCCCACATGCACATCTAASTGTGTATTGGAAATACCTCCGGAAGTTGTTAGTGAGAGATGTTCCCAATACATGATTAAGATATGCTATGGGGCGTAGATGTGAGTTCCATGAGATCGGCTTTAGTCAGTGGGAGATATTCCCAATACAAGGCCCATAGGCTGTTTGAACGGGCCTTGCACTGACTGAAGTCGAGTTCGAATTCCATTGGCTGTATAAAGGAATTTTGGATTTCATAACCATTCAACTTTGTGAAAAAGCTACATGTGAGAGATGTATATGGACAAGTGGGACCCATATGTAATTAATTTTTTATTATTTAATTATCAAATAAAAAAATTATTTTTAATTTTTATTTTGGTCGTGTGAAGAAATGGAATTTTAAGTGGGACACACCTGTAATGACCATATTTATTTTGACTTGGGTAGTGCCACATTAATAGACATTACTTTTTAATATACATATACATATATTATTATTATTATATAATATTAATATATATATATACACACATATATATATATATAATATTATATATATATGTGTGTATACATATATAATAATATAAATATATACATATATCTGTATATATATATATTTATTTTAAAATTTATTATACTATTTTATTAAATTTTTTTAATTTTGTTTTATTATTTCATATATAAACAATTGTATACAATAAAGTTCATATGGAATAATTTTGTTGTCTATATTATTAATTTATTTTAACTTTTTTTTTTAAATCCGACTAGACACAACCCGACATAGCATGGGCACGCTTGGGCTCATGCCATGGGCTGTGTTGGGTTTCCCTTTCCACTGAAGTGTGGTGTGCGCGGCCTGCAAAAATGAGCCCTACCGAGCAGATTTGCTTGAAGTCTTGACGAAAAATCCTATCATGTACCAACACAACTAGAGGGTAGTGGTCCGTTTGATTGTCGAGAAAAGGATGGGATGAGAAGCATCTTTAAAGAATATTTGTTCTTCCATGTGTTTATTTTGAAGTAAAAGGATGAGATTGAAAAAAGAAAGAGGTGGGATGCAGGTTCCCAAAACTCCATATGTGGGGATTACACCAAAATGGTGAGACCCCGTTGGAAAAGAAAACAAAGGCCATTTGTGATAAAATATTATCAAGAGCACCATCGTATCCAGTCATCTTCTTCCTCACACTATCTTACAGTCATCTCTCATGCACCATCTAAGGCGATTTCTTTCAAAGTCAAGCTCAGATCTGGCATCCCTATGCCATCTCTGTTCATTTTTTGTATCACTTTTTGTATACTTTCGTTAATGAGTTCCTCCCTTCATCTCACCGTCTTCTTTCGTTGAACGAGTTTCCTTTCAAATCTGGTGTTTTTCTCAGCAGTAGACGTTAAAATGAACTCATACAAGGGAAATTATCCAAGACTGGTGATGAATTCCTTAGAGATACAACAACTTTTTGGTTGCTGGATGTAAGCAACCTCGAAAGCAATAATCCTGTAGCATTTCCCTTCTCAGCAATCCTGTAATATTTACTTAGCAATTAAACACTGAAAAACATATTTGACAGGACAACTGGTCTCAGCAACCAGCAACCAAACACAGGTGACAGATTGAGAAAAAAATTTCCTATTCATCACATAATTTCTCATCCCATTTCATCCTTTATCAACAACCAAACGGACCATAAGAAAAAGTCAAGAGTGAGAGCTGCTATAGTCTGAAGCAGTGAACTGAAAAATGCACCAAAAAATAAAGAGAATAAGGGTAATTTAGGGATTTCGGAAGTTACAAGTTCTATAACCCGTTTTTTGTTTTAATTTTTTAAGTAGGATGCAGAAAAGATATGGTATGGGAAGATTTTTGACCAATCAAAACCCTTACATAAGAGGAAAACCTGTCTCGGTCTCCCGTGAGAAGAGGGAAAAATTTAAAAAGCGGTCGAAATATTTTCAAAACCCCGCCCTGGCCTCTCCACACTCCAAAGTCCAAACCACTCCACTCTGACTCTCCCTCTTCTTTATCTCTCCCTAGTCCTTGTATATGCACATTTTATCTTCGTCTAACCATTCGTTCCATCAAAAGCCATACCCCATACGACAGCTCTCAATCGTCTTCCCCATTTACCAACTCCCCAATCTCTGTTTCACCCTCATCCATGGCGCAGGATAGTCAACTCCCTTGTGACGGGGATGGCGTTTGCATGCTGTGTAAGGAAAAGCCCCCAGAAGAAGAGACCCTTACCTGCAAGACGTGTGCCACTCCATGGCACGTCAGTTGCCTCTCTGTTCGTCCCGAATCCATGGCCTCTGTTCTTCAATGGGAGTGCCCTGACTGTTCACCTTCTGTTGATGGCCTCCCTGCCGCGTCTGCTGGCAAATCTGTTGCCTCCTCTGTCCCTGCAAACTCTGGAGACCTCATCGCCGCGATTCGAGCGATCCAGGCCGATGCCTCACTTAGTGAGCACCAAAAAGCTAAGAAAAGGCAAGAGCTATTGAGCCGCGGTACTCGATCTCCGGACAACGAAGAGGCGGAATCTGAAGGGAAGGATAAGATGGTGGAAGGGAAGGATGTACTGGATCTCCTCGGTGGGAACATAAACTGCAGCTTCTGTATGCAACTACCGGAACGCCCGGTTACGGTCAGTGTTTCTATCCCTCCTCTTTCACTATCTCTTCTATGTCCGCGGCTCTGATTCAAAGATTTAATAGAGGTTAAGTCGTCTGGTTGAAATTGTTTCCATATATCTGCACTGGTTCGCCTTTGAATACTTGATACTTCGAATCAGAGGTTGCAGGGAAAGGAGGTTCATTTCTAGATGAGTGCTTTTTTTTTTAATATTTTAGTTTAATACATAAATGAAAGGCATAAACTGGTGTATCCTCTTTTCTTCGGGCCTCCGTTTGGACAGAAACAGACTTTTATTGGTGTATGTTCTCCCCATTCATCTATCATACTTTGAATCATTATAGATTAATTGGGTATGAGAGATTGAGTAGTTTTTGAGGAATTGAGTTCTGTAGTTGTAAACTTCCAAATCTGTGTTGAGTTTGAGGTTTTCTAATCCCAATTTGGAGAGGAAGTTTGGAGAAAGTAGAACAGAGTCTTCTCTGTTTTCCGCTTTCTTGGATTTTTCCTTTTGGTCGAAGCCTACGGTGTCCTTTTACTTTGGGAATATTAAGAGCATCATCTATTTCTTTTCCTCTGGGAAATCCTTTTTTTCTCTTTCGGTTCTCTCTTTTCTGGGTACTCTCTCTGGGTTAGATGTTCTCTTCTATGAGAATTACCCTGTCGAAAGTTAATTGTGAGCAATATTGGCTCTATCCGATCGGCGGATTTGGCTGGATTTGTATTCAAATTTTAGGGTTTAAGGGTTCAGAGTTTAAGTTTTAGGGTCTTTGGGATTTAGGATTTAGATATATAAATCAAGAGGTGATCGGACGCTAACTGAAACCCGTGAAGTTTGGTACTTGATAATGGGTAAACATCTTTTCAACGGTTTCGATTGACGAGGAAACACAATTAACTTGCCTTTAATGGGGTTGAATATTTTTCGTTTCAATGCCTGTTTTTCTTAAACATTATATTCTCTCTATTTGTTTATCCCTACGTGTAGTTAATTCCATTTCTTTGTTTATTTATATTTATTACACTCGGTCCTGGTTCATATACTTCATACTGGCTTGTCTCCGTTATTGATTGTGAATTTGTGGTCGGTTAGATTGAGTGCGGATGATCGGACCCTATACAATTATACTCTTAACACTGGCATGGGCTAATGTGGTTTATTAATTATGATTGTTCCAGCTTCCTTGTATTTTTTTCCTTTACTGGTATTACGATTTACACTTCTATATAATGGAAATTTTTTGTTTCATTGAAATTCAGTTAATTTTCTCAATGAAAGAAAAAAAAGTGATGTAAATTTGTACCATCTTCCTCTATCTCAATTCTATATGTACTATTATAAATTGGATACTTACCCTGGTTTTTGGTGCAAGACGTAACAGTTAAATTTAAATATTTAACTTCAACTTATATCTTACCCTCTACGGAAAATCTATCATCCCATAACCACATGTTACAGAAAAATCTTTCACCAATCAAAACACCCTGTAAATTCATCACCCTAAGATTTTCTGATATCATATCTTTCCGTATCATACTTGAAACTTGCCCTCTATCATATAAAGCAGGAGCCACATCATCCAAAGAAATGTCCATTCTACCTCCATTTTCTTTTATATAAGCCAACAATACACCATTTTACTTCTCACAAACAAACAAGACAAGGCCAGAGATCTTAAACAATGGTAAACCAAAATTTATACTCAATCTATTTGCACTCCGGTGCATTTATACTTGTGCAAATTTTCTGTTTTTTTTTTTCTTTTTACATGCCCTATAAGCTAGTTCATAGGCTAATCCATTTGCATATATGTTCAGTCTATATTTGGATGTAAACATGTTTAAACAGTCTATATTTCTTTTAGTACAAAAAGAAATGGTGGTTTGCTATTGCTTCATACGTGACATTGTCTTATTTATTTGTTCATGTAAACATGTTTAAACAGTTGTTGAATGAGGACAGAAATCTACTATTCCTCGGCCTAGTCTTATTCTGTTTGTACATGTAAATATAATATTCCTCAACTATCTCTGCCAGAAAATAAGGTTTTTTGTTTTATTGAATAAATGCTAATAAACAATGAACTAATCAACTCTTGGAAAATTTGCACATATTATACGAAAGTAAGAGGTTGAACGCGCTCTGATGCAGATTTGTTTCCATATTCCAGACTCCTTGTGGGCACAATTTCTGCCTGAAGTGCTTTCAGAAATGGACCGGGCAGGGGAAGCGTACGTGTGCAAAATGCCGTACCATTATACCTCCCAAGATGGCGAGCCAACCGCGTATCAATTCTGCACTGGTTGTGGCCATTCGTATGGCCAAATTGTCCAAATCAATATCTACCGTGGGACCGCTGAAAGTGCATCATTTTATACACAACCAGAACCGGCCTGACAAAGCTTTCACCACGGAACGGGCAAAGAGGGCTGGAAAGGCCAATGCTTGCAGCGGCAAGATTTTTGTCACAGTCCCGCCCGACCATTTTGGACCCATTCCTGCAGAAAATGACCCCATAAGGAATCAGGGTGTATTGGTTGGGGAGTGTTGGGAGGACAGGATGGAGTGTAGGCAATGGGGCGTCCACCTTCCGCATGTTGCAGGAATTGCAGGGCAATCGGATTATGGTGCGCAGTCCGTGGCCCTTTCAGGCGGCTACGAAGACGATGAGGACCATGGAGAGTGGTTCCTGTACACTGGAAGGTTTGTTCTTGACTTAAAACTGAATTTAGATATGTTATTTTCTTAGTTCTAATTGGCATAGTTCTAGACTGCCAGGTTTTGATTTTTAGGCCCTGATCCCCCGTCTCAACCTCAGCAATTGATGACGATTGACAAAAAATCCAGTAGTTCTCCCTCTGAATGTTGAAGCCCGTGCCAATCGTATTCACAAAGTGCCGGCTGGACCCCTTTTCTTAGATTTATACTACTCGAAACTTCATTGCTTGGGATTAGAGTTGTCAATGGATCGGTTTTGGGTTGGACCTGTCCAAATCAAAATCAATTTGGACGGATTGGACTGACGAATAAGGCAATTACATATTGAATTGGATCAGTCCAGATTTAATGAACCAGATTATTTATTGGATTGGATTGGACCTGGACCATCTGTAATGCATTTATATTGGATTGGATCAGATTGAACTTATAAGAGAAACCTGATTGGTGACACCCCTACTTGGGATTATAAGAGAAACCTGATTGGCGTAATTGAAATCACTAGACCATGTGATTTAGGGGGCATTGTATAACTTGAATTGTTTTTCTTGTTGTGGTTTCAAAAACAAATAAAAACTATTTGATTTGAAAACAGATTCTTTCTTAAAACACAAACACAAAAAACATGTTATTGGTTGTGTATGTGTTTTTTGTTTTTAAAATTGAAATAAAAACATGTTCTTGAATCTGTGTTTTAAAAACATGTTTTCATTATTTAATATTATATTTATAAATTATATAATGTCTATATTAAAGGTTTATTTTCRTTTTTAAAAATATTATTTTATTGGTTCAAAAAACATGTATTTTTTTTGAAACAAAACCAATTTGTTTTCTTTTGAAAACCAAAAGTGTTCAAGAACATGCTTCTCTCTCTCTCTCCCTGCTGTGCTGATTCTAAAAACAAGTGAACAAAACATTCGTGTTGTAGAAGGCTCCCTTGTCAAAAAAGATTCATCTTTATTGAGGATCTCTACTTTGGATAGCTATTATGAAGGTACAAGTTTTTCTTGATGCATTATGAATTTAACTAGCTTAGCTGCTTAGGTCTATTTAATATATTTGCTCGTTAGTTACACCGCCTCTTTGACATTCATCTCTTTTAAAGTTTTTAATGCTCATTTATACTGTCATCCCTACCTTACTGATATTACTTGAATTTGTTGGTCTTCACCTTGATCGGTTTGCTACGTAGTGGTGGAAGAGATCTTAGTGGGAATAAGCGCACAAACAAGGAACAGTCGTTTGATCAGAAGTTTGAGAAAATGAATGAGGCGCTGCGAGTAAGTTGCAAGAAAGGCTATCCAGTTCGAGTTGTGAGGTAAGATTCATTTTGGTGAGGTCTTCCATGCTAAAAGGTTAGACACTAGGAATTGGTTCACTATTTGATGGGCCAAAGCAAAATCTCTTGTCCAGAGGATGTCCTACGTGGTAGCGTTCCATCCAAAGATGGAACCAAATACGCTAGCAATAGCGTCCACATTGTGCTGCATGATTATTAATAATTTCTTTGGAATACAATACACTCAAGCTAATATGATTTTGATAGAAATGTGGTTAGCATGTCAAGTAGCAATGATAAATAGCCTTTTTCGACGATTATGCAATGATCAGTAGCAATGTGGTTTTATGTTTTTCATTAGCCTATGAAGTGATGTCCAAAACTCAGTTTCTTTGTCTGACCTTTACTTTTTAACCATACCAGGATAATACGTTTTTTTCGTCAGCTTTGACACAGGGTCCAATACCACTTTTTACTTTGCTTTATAATGAACAGGTCTCACAAGGAGAAACGTTCTTCCTATGCACCAGAAACTGGAGTGCGATATGATGGAACATACAGGATCGAGAAATGCTGGCGCAAAATTGGAATTCAAGTATGGCAGTTTCTTTTTCTTGACTACTCCAGTACCACTTACTCTTTGCTCGTAATGGACATGTTTTTTATGAGATTTTGCTGGATCAGGGCTTCAAGGTCTGCAGATATCTGTTTGTTCGATGTGATAATGAACCTGCACCTTGGACAAGGTTTGTGTTTGTTTTATCATTTCTAGTCCTCTAGAGGGAACTTGTCTTGTTCCCGAAGGGCTACTGCTTTGTATCCTATATTAACTGTGCAACCTCGGTTGCAGTGATGAGCATGGGGACCGTCCAAGAACTCTGCCTGTTATTAAGGAGCTAAAGAAGGCAACTGATATTACTGAAAGGAAGGAAAGCGCATCTTGGGATTATGATGTGAGCTTACTTGTCTGTTTTGTTATTACATATATCATTTTCCACTTTTGTGCGCCTCCACCTACTCTCTATGTTACCAAATAGTTCTGTTTTTGTTTTTCAGGAGGAAGAAGGGCGCTGGAAATGGAAAAAGTCTCCTCCAGCCAGCAGAAAAGCAGTTGAAACTGTAAATCAAGAGGACAGAAAGATGATAAGGAAGGATATAAGACAAGCACAAACCTTGTCTGTGAGAGAAAAACTCTTGAAAGGTGTGGTGTCTCTTTGATCTATCTGGACCCAGTTTCCTAATCATGGTACTTAAAAATAGTTTATTCATCTCTTATCCTGAGGGTTTGTTCTTCATGAGGGGTACATGTGAATATTTAAAATTTATTCTTGATTTGTTATGGAGACTCTTGGTGGCTTGAACTTGTTCTGTTTGAATAAAAGCCTCTTTTTTGATCATTAAACATTGCCTAAAACAAAGAATTCTAGTATGGCCTGAATTTAAAATTGAGGCATTTCTAGAATGGGATGCCGTCTTATGTTCATAACTGACAGTTTTTTGAATGGGTAATTGGGCAGAGTTCAGCTGCCTAATATGTCGGAAAGTCATGATCATGCCCCTTACGACTCCATGTGCTCATAACTTTTGTAAGCCTTGTCTGGAGAATGCATTTGCTGGTCAGACCTTTGTAAGAGAGAGGACATGTGAAGGTAGAAGAACATTACGTGCAAGAAAGAATGTCATGAAATGTCCATCGTGCCCTAATGACATTTCCGACTTCCTCCAAAATCCACAGGTGTGTAACTGAAAATCTCCTAATATATTTGCAACTTAGCAGTGCTTATTTAATTTGTAGTATTGCTGGATTCACTGTTCTCTGTATCACACCATGACTATCCATTTGAGACTTTGAGTGCGCATTAGCTGTCCCAAAGTGGTAGATACTGGGTCTGGTTGCTTAGTTGATGGGGTGTGTATAGCTCATTTGGTTAGGGATGTGCTATTTATTTTCTTAAACTAAACGGGGGGGTTGAGGTGTTATCATCAACATTATCATTTTTGTCTATCTGAATTTTAGATTTTAAAGAAAATATTCCTGCCTCTCTTGCTGCCTCCTTTTCTTTCATGTGTTTTTCCTTCTACAGGTGCACCTTTTCTTTTGTTTTCTAATCTGGGGTGTTTATTGCAACAGGTAAATAGAGAGTTGATGGATGTCATAGAATCCCTTAAGCGTCAGACTGAAGAGACAGAAGAATGTGCTGAAAAATCAAGTGAAGAAAATGATGACATGGAAGAGAAACCTGATGCTCTAACAGATACTGAAGCCAGCACCGAGAAATTAGACATAATAAATGAAAGTGATGGTAAGGAAGTTGCTGATGGGGAGAAAAGCAAGATATCCATAAATGAGAAGCAGGATGATCAGGAGAACTGTAAAATATCCAAAGATGAAATGCCCGATTCTGTAGAAGGGGATGCTGGTAAACCTAAAATGCCAGACTGTATTGAGCAGGATTTGCCAACTAGAAAAGAGGCCAGACCTAAACGGACTTGTAAGCGGAAGGCAACTGTTGAGACTTCTTCTCATGCCGGTGCAAAGACCAGAAGCAGGAGCAAGAAAACAAAAGAGTCTATTGATGATGGAAATGTTTCACCATCAAGCCCTCTCCATGTTCAATCAGATGATGATTTTGAATGATTTATAGTCTATATTTTTTACCCCAAAAAATTCATTTATATTTCATCTTAAGAAAGTTTAAGAGCTTTCTTTTCCATTTCTGGAGTTTATGCCATTATAGTTGGTGGATTTTTCTTTAAACACTTGAGGAATTCTTGCCAATCAGGCATTCGATTTTTTAGCCTTAAATTTTGTATTATTTATGTACTTTTTGGATTCTTCATTTTGAATCTTTCCCATACCCGTGTAGGTTCAAAATATCCACATGGTGCATTTGATGGAGGATGCATTATATGATAGATATCTTTAAGGTATGGGCATGTGGCGTGGGTGAAACCATGTTTTAGCTTCTTCAAAGCAGTATGCCAAATTCGAGATATCTCAAGTGGGCACTGAGGTTTAGCCAATTGCATCTACATCTGATCTGATTATCATGTGATGTTTGGTATGCTTTCCATTTATTTGTAAAACGTTTTTCTTTGATATATCTTCAAAATCGAGTAAGTGGTTTTTTTTTTTTTACTATTGTTTGATAGCTAAGTGGCATTAAGCATAATAGTAAATAAGCACCTTGGTATTAAGAGAGGTTAAAATTAAACTGTCTCCAATGGTTGATTTATGCATACACCAAGATAAACATTTATTTGATGAACAAGTTTACCAAATAGTCATAAAAAACAGGTTTACCAAATAGCATTTTAGGGAAAATGCCTACATTGTGATGAATTAACATTGTTTTTCAAATAAATGAAAGCCATGCTAAACACCATTCGAATATTTTGATCCAAAATTGATTCTAATGTAGGGGTAATTAGTCAACTTGTAGATCTTGACACGTGGGTCGTGGTGTCGATTGGATCCATCCTGGGCATCTTGACACGTGGTGTCGATTGAATGCACCTTGACTATTTATCACCAACCACTGCCAACCATTGCCACCTACTTCCAAGTACTCCTCTCAATCAACTCCAAGTCTCCAACTATAAAAAGGGGTTCCCACATTGAGGTAAGGACACATTATAACTTAAGCTCTAACGCTCTTGGGATAACTCCCAGGGCCTTTGGCATTTTCTTTGGACCTGTTGGCCTCGAACTTTGAAATTATGTTGTTGCCCTCGGTTCTATATTTGGTAGCAACTATTGGTGTTGTTTGTGGGAATATCTTCAAAACTTTTCCTTAAGAAAAAACAAATCTAATTTAATTAATCAGTGTCCTTGAAATGGCTGACAAGCAAGACCTTGCCTCTAATGTCCGAAATATAGTCACGATTGACCAATTCGAGCTAGTAGGCTGGACAACTTGGCCCAGCGATTGGACAACTTCGTGTATCCAAGCCACGTTCAAGGGAGTATCAAGCTGATGATTCTCCACACTTCATTGCCTCTTGAAAATAGTTCACGGACCTCAGCAGCCTTTTAAAACGGTGTCAAAAACCGTCATGTCCTGATGTCGGTCAAGCAGACGCGCGGGAAAAGCCTTCTAACATATATGAATCTCTGTGTATCTTGTACTGGTTACTACTCATTTTCCTCGTACCGTCTGCTCCGATCTCCCTCAGCTCTCTCTATCTTCTGCTGGTTATTCCTCATTTCCTCCTACCGTCTACCCCGTGGCTCTTATAACCGAAATCTTGACTGGCGACGGCAAGGTTGTGCGCTGATCACCTGGAGCTTCATCTCGTGCACTCGAATCTGGTGTACATCCTGATTATCGTCACCAGGAGCTAACATAGGCGAATTTGATCAAGGTATGCTCTGTACTCGTTCTTTGAACGTTTCACGCCGTGATTTTCCTTCTGTTTTTCTCTTCTTCATTGGTTGTTATTTTGAATGTTTTTGATGTGGTTTAGTTAAGATTTGAGGAGGTTGTCGAAGTTGGTGATGAGGCACCTATCGAACCAACTTCTACTAAAGACCTATACCATTCAAATTTCTAGTTTCTCATGCTGTGCGGACCTCTGTTTTTTTTTTTAAACTCTTCTCTTTTCTGAACTGCATGCTCTGTTTTTCTTTTCTTCTCCTTAAAATGCATCGATCTATAGTCATGTTATGGATCCTATCTGAGATTAATGACCAGCACCGATGATTGTGTCGTTTCTTCTTAATTATGCTCTCTCATATTGATCGAGTAGGGAATCCTTTAATAGAATGTTTAAGTAAATACTGAACCCCTGTATTCTTATGTGCGCTTATCTGCCGTTTTGTTACGGGTTTCATTTTATTTACTGTGAATAAATCTAGTGCTGTTGCAATATGTGCTATTCCGAGAGATAAATCCCCATACCAGCTCTGGTAAACCCCCTGATATCGACTTCGCTGCATATCTTTTTCATCCCTTTGCTGTAGATATCTTCCCTTTTCCTTTCTATCTTCAAATGATTGTAATAATTTAGTTTCTCATGGAATAAGTCAATCTTCCTCTGGGTTTAGCAGTTTTGGGAATGATTCAAGGATTTTTTGCCATTTCAATGAATGTTGATTGGAGCCTAAAGGTCTYGTAAATATCTTTTTCAATGTCCTCAGAATCTCTGTATTCTGATTTCTTCCTTTTCCATATTATTTGAGTTACTCCTGTTGTTAGGGCCAAATACCAGAAGGTCGCAATGTTTGTGTGCCTCACTACTGAATTCGGTTTTATTGAAATAAAAAGAAAAGAAAAAAAAGATCACTTTAGAGTAGGACCCATTTTGGGACTGGTAGGAATTACATTCGGTGATGCTAGGAAGCACTTAACAATGATTCTCAGAATCATTGAATTTGAGACTCCATTCGGGACTCCATTCACAGCCCAAGTGAGCCGTTTTTCTGATGCCCGCAATAACAAAAAAGAAAAGAAAAGAAAAGAAAAGAAAAGCGTAAATAGTGATTATGGGCAAGATGAATTTGAGAGACAGTATACAGAGGAAATGACCAGAGAGGAATTTTCTGAATGCAGTAAGCCAATCCTCAAAAGCATGCTGACAGACTTTTAGCTTACATGAATTTTAGACTTATTAAATGCAAGAAGCATCATTATAGGATAAGAGAATTATGAGTGGATCAGGTTTGGGAGTTGGGACTCAAATTACTAGTGCTCTTTACCTGATTCGGTTATTGATAATCAGGTTTTGTGGCATTAGCATAAAGGTGTTTGTCTACCATTCATGCTTACTTCAAATGATCTTAAAATGGATTTATTTGATTGATCAGTCACATCCATGGATCATGTTCTCATTGAACATGGAGCCAGGTCCCAACATATTGGACGTGTTGACAAAGTCAAATGGCTAGACTGACAAGGGCCTGCTATTTGTCTATTATTAGCGAGTCTAGGAAATTGGTACAAGTTGAAGGGCCTATAAAAGATGGGGTATGCCTAAAATGACATGGGTTGAAGTAGTGAGAAATGATTTGAGGGACCATAATTCAACAATGGTTATGAAACTGAACTGTGCGGGATGGTGGAACATGATTCATGGAGTCCATATAATTGGGACAAGCCTTAGTTGAGTTGAGTTAGTCTAGGAAACTTGTAATGGTGGAACACAATTCATGTAGCCGACTCCATATAATTGGGACAAGGCTTGGTTGTGTTGAGTTAGTCTAGGAAAGTTAATTTGGGGATCTTTGAAGGTCTCTGTCTCAAGTTCATTATTGAGTAAGAATAAGGATAGAAAGTTAGTTTTTTAAGAGATTACAGCATTTCATTGGTTGATGTATCTTTATATTATTGAAGAGAATATATATGCTATATGCATGTAGAAGTATATACATATCTTCCTTTGAAGGTCTCTGTGTCTGGAATTCCTTTTTATTAAGAATTAGAGATGGGAAATTTAGTTTTTTAGATAGACTAGGGTATTGCATAGATTTGTCTGGTTGATCAGTTGTTGAAGAAAAGAGAATATAGGAACATTTTTACTATATATTTCTATTATATGTTTGATCATTACTTTTCTTGAAGTTCACAAGTTCATGGATCCATGTGAAACTTAGCATTTTAGATAGTTTGAAGAAGCTATTGTCAATTATCGCGTCTATCCTTTTAGCTGCACCACACCATCAGGCCAGATCCTCTTCTTACTGCATTCACATCTATAGATTTGTTGGTCTTATATTTGTTTCTTAGTCTAATGTTGATGATAGAGTTTGGAATATTTTAATCTTCTGGTGGTTGCCTTCTAATTCTTCCTCAAGGACACAGTGAATTGCCAGTCCAATCCCTTACCTTCCTGTTTAAGAAAATTTAGAAACCTTCGGTCTGTTCCAAAGTGAAAATGGTACTTGAGAAGGTAGTGCCAGGCCATTCATATTTTCCCTTGCATACTCCTATTCTGACATATTTGATCTATTTAACCTCCTTTGCTTCAGAAGATGGCCAGGTTGTTTTTTGGCATTGATATCAGTTTCATGGAGGTTGTGTACATCTGTCCCTCCCCAGATATCAGTTTCATGGAGGCTATCTAGGTTTTCGTGTGTCCTTTAGTTGATTCCTCGTTGACATGTCAACGGATGTGCTATTTCAATGCTGTTATTTGGAGATTTGTTCATTAGGACAATGAACAATTGGTTCCTTGGCAAGCCCACCTCGACCAAAACAAACATGAAAAAATGATAGTTTATTTGTCTGTAATCAGAAGGGCTCCACAATCTGAACCAACTAGTTGGATATAATAAATCAGTCTACCATGTGGATCTTTTGCAATGATCATTCAATAGGGAATCACACATAATCAGATCATCAGAAAATATGAATATTGATTAGCTTCAATGTTTTAACATCCCTTCCATTAATATAATTTAATGGTTGTATACAATCTTATAATTTTCATTCGTTCATAATATGGCCATACATTTGCATTTTAGCAGAACTCAAAATAATGGCTGAGATTTTATTATGCAAGATAAAATTGAGTCTTTTTACTACATGATTGGTTGATATAAAACCTAGCATGATTTCTAGGTTGCACTCATTTTGTAGGTTTCTTTTCAGAATATGGTTCTTACATATAATGTAATTCCAATTTTCCTCTTATTGTTTGCTATTCCAGTCTTGCAGATTTTTTCCTTCAGGAATCCTTCGCATACCAGATCCTGTTGTTTTATTAGCTACACCATTCCCTGAGGTTTGATTGTGGTATGGTTGTAGATGTTTTAATGTACTCATCTATACGATCTACTTCATGTTAGTTTTGGTTGTTTCTCTTTATGTGGTCTTATTTGTACCTTTTTCTGTTTATTGAAGTCATTTTTGGTCCTTGAGTTCTATTCTATTATCAGCTAGATTTTTTGAGGCTCTGAATCATGGTATGTATTAGTTCCATTCCATATTTCAATTAAAGTTTTTTATTTTCTACATCTCTGTATATTAATTTGCTCTGGCATAATAGGTCTGCTAGTTGGGTTGTTTAGGGAACTCTAAATGACCAAGAAATCTTCCACATGGGTATTTTCTATGTTAAAAAAATTAAGACTTTGAACCAGTATCAGTTGGGCAAACCACCGATACAGGGTGGGTTATAGGACAGAGAGACTAAACCATAGTCAATCCTGAGGCGCCCTACTTGATGGATGGTTTGGATAACACATCCTTCCACATGGCACAGATAAGTAGGTTTTATAGGTAATCTTCCTACTTGGCCTGATTAGGAAGCCTTGTTCCTTAATATTTTCCCCTAGTTTAGTTGTTTTTCTATTTCAGGGCTTTGGGTTCTCCCTTGTAGTTACCTAAATGCCTTGGTAATTAGTAGGCAGTTTCCAAAAAAGTTTGTTTGCAAATTGCAGGTTCTTCCCCTTGGTTCTGTTAATGTGTCAAATTTAGGGGATTTTTTGTATGGTTTCACTTTTCAAATAAAAAACAACTGCAATTATCGGCAATGTACATAAAAGAATCCTTAAAGACTACTACTAATTGAAATAAAAGAATCGTGACATCCCTTTGATCTTTAACAGGCCTTGTGTGAATAGTCCTCATTGGAATGTGCATAAATCTATGCTTAAAAGAAAATCTATGAAAGCAAAAAGGGAACAAAACTGCTACAATTTCATAGTTTGGTGGAGCCATTAATTGCTTTACTGGACCAAAAGGCATGGATTGGAAAAGAATGGGTTCTTCTATGAATTGCTGATACTAAACTGCAAACCGTAACTTGACTAAGAGCCCGTTCAGATAAATAGTGACTAGAATGCTGTTTGGGAGAGCATGGCCTGATATGCGCTTGATAGTGGTTTTCTGGAATGTTGTTTCTACATGATTTTGACACATTTCAGTCACATGGAAAATGGATTTACATTCATCTTCCATCTTTTAAAATAATCAAAAGGATTATTAATATGAAAAAATGCATGGGTGTGGGGCTGATGTGGCCAATGACACCATACATGTGTGCGATCTAGTGAGTCGGCCATTTTCTCCTTCTAACTCTGTTGTTTTGCAAAATTTGTTTAACCAATCTGAAAAAGGACTGTCTTCTTCTGCAAAAGATTCATCGTCCGTCAAATAATATGTGATAGTTCTCATGTTGCTGGTGCTGGCTGCAAAGATTCTTTCAAACTTGATTGTGACAGGGTCTGCAATATTGGCAAGGGTTGCTGTGCAAGCTTACCGCCAAGCACTTGCAAGTAAGTTCACTGTCTTTTAATAATATTACAAAGATAACATCAAATTGCTTCTTTTCCAAGTAAAGATGTTTCAACGACCATTGGATAACTTACTGGTCTTTTCTGCTTTTCTAATTCCATGGTCGTAATGGTACTAACAAATTTCTCAAACTGAAACTACTAGAGCCCATATTCTTCCGATGACATTTTTATTTCATCTTCCCTCTCAGTCCTTTCAAAATCCAACTTGACCTTTTGGTTTGACCGGTTCAAGATGCCTCAAAATCTGGCGTCACGCAAGGGATGGCACAGACTACCGTTCGTAGGGCTAGCAAAATCATGACTGAAGCAGAGGCCCAACAGATTCTAGGGGTCACCGAGGGGTCGTCATGGGAAGAGATTTTGCGGGTTTGTATCTCATCCCATTTTGCTTTTTTTTTTTTTTAATTAACCTTTGCTGCTTGACAACTGAACTGGTATTTCTTACAAGTTGGGACCAAAAATCTGCACGTACGAATGCAGAAGTACGAAACTATGTTTGAGCAAAATGCCAAGAATGGGAGCTTTTACTTACAATTGAAGTTCCAGAGAGCTAAGGAATGTCTGGAAGTATTGTACCAAAGCAAAGCCCAAGGATGAACAAATTGATAACATGGCAAAGCATAGGCTGCGTTTTTGTCTTGTTTTCATCTAATTCTTATTCTTTCCACGATGTACACCCAGGTGGGCTTTGTAAATTTCATTTGTTTTGTTGACAACAGGGCATTAAAGTTTCTTTAAAATGTGAAAGAGAGTAGTTTCGCCAAGATGAGCTGTTTGTGATTCATGAATCTCAGATAGCTTCAGACGTCGTGGTGGATCTTTACGTGAAAGTATTCTCGTGCTGTGTTAAAAATAGGGACTCTAGTCTTTGGGCCCGTTTGGTTCATAGTTGGAATCGAAATTGGAATTGGCCGTAATCTGTTTGGTTCAGACAGGAATTGGAATCAGTTTGGTTCATAGTTGGAATTGGAATGGTCTATTCTCATAATCTGTTTGGTTCAGACATGAATTTGAATCAATTGATTCTGATTCAGACCCCTATTCCCATGAACCAAACGGGCCTTTAACACTTAATAGTTGTATGATAGCCCTGAACCATTTGGAATTGGAAGGGTAATTGTCTATAAGCCTAGTGCGTGGGAATGTGACACATTTGAGATTATTATCCCGGAAGTGGGGAAAAGAAATGAATAGGCCATGGGATGGGTTCTTTTTCAACATGCGGTCCATGAAATAGTAATTGGCTTGAAAAGCCCACACCTGTTTGAGCCCTTGAACCTTACCTGCCCAAATGAGGCCCATTATAATTTTTGTGGGTTTGGAATGGTCCGAACCCACAATGATTGTTGCCTACGGATGACTGTGTTGTAGTCTAGGTGGTTAATGACATTTCTCCCATTTGGAAAAGCCCATCCGGATATGCTGGTTATCCATTATTCATTGCTGGTTTTGCAATTTCGAGTGTGTACACAGCCTAAATACATAATCGGTAACCAGCAGATAGATATTGACACCGGAAAAGCAGGTTCTGGATGTGGCTCCGAACCCTGGGCTGGCCAGTGAGGAGAGGGTCCTCCACACTACTGGTCCAATGGTTTCACGCCAACTTATTAGAGTTATAGTGGTCTTATGGTATTGCGTCTTTTGGTATTGGTGGTTATTTCTTTACCCACTAACAATTGAATGATTTGGCACAATATCATTGGACCAGTAGAGGATTTGGAGCATCTCGATATTGTACAAGCCAGAAAAACTTTGGCTGTTGAGGGCTAACAGCCTATGCTGCTGAGAGCGTTTTTGGGAATGTCTTGTTACCATAAGAGTGAGTAAATTAGTAATTGTCCTCTAATTTATTTTGACCAAAATCAAAGATATGGGTGTGAATAGGTGAATATGCCCAGCCTAAAAACTCTCTCCAACTGTGTAGGCTGTTGGCCCCCAACAGCCAAAGTTATCCTGTACAAGTCAGAGGATCCGGATCTGGTGTGAAACATTTCCCCATGAATGACAACATGGCCTGACGTGCTTACTTGTGTACGAGTCAGAGAATCCGGATCTGATGTGTAGCTGGTGTGAGGAGCAAATCTGGTCTCCAAGCAGATGGCCCGACGTTTTTCCTTGTTCTGTTAATGCAAGCAGCCGCTGACTAGAAAACTTGTGGCAAATGGTTAATGGGCATTTAGGGCCAAAGCCCATTGTGATTTGCGACCCCAGTAAAGAAGCCTTAGCCCATGCATGTAAAAAAAAAAAAAAACAAGTATACATGCAATGCAATCATGATTGTTTTGCACATAAGCATGCATAGCGTAACATGGTTACCCTAGACTTCACATTGGCACCCCACATGCACATTTCACTGTGCATCGCGAACATCTCTTGTACTTATCACAATTCTATTCTTATATGGGCAATTACTGTCATGTCAACCCTTTGGCTTCAACAAAAGCATTATACATCTCTCTTTTTATGTAGGCCCTTTTAGAGTTTAATCTACCTCAGAATTTATTTATTAATTCTTCAAATGTATGTATCCCCACCCCCAATTAAACCAATGTTTTAAAAAACGACCAGGAAACAGAATCTTTCTGGGCATCGGTTTCCGGGTCAACGGTTYGATCATCTGGTTCGAATGGACAGTCCATTTTGACATCAAAATAAAAAAAATTAAAAAATGGCCAAAACCCGATGAACAGGCCAACGGATTGACAGTTCGACTGCCCGAATTAACGGTTTATTGATTTTTTCAATGATTTTTTACTAGATTCCAGATTTGGGATAAAACAGAACCGATTGCATGAACTGTTGCTGGGCCGAACGGTGCAACCGTCCGGATCAACGGCAGTTAGAAAATATTACCATAAACAACATCCCTTGAATTGGGAATCTTTCCCCTTTCACGCTGACCCGAAATGTATGATCGCATTATGAATTTTGGGATGGACCGAACTCAAATTATCACTTTTTATAATTATCAGCCAAGCTAAAAACATATAAGAAAAACAAAACAGGATGGTTCTTTTTTTTTGAATCAACCACTTATTTGTTGCATGAGAATATTTCCCAACGCTAGGTACGGAGTAGGGTAGGATAATTAGTGCGGAAAGTTTCTGATTCAACATCTCTTACATGATTGCATTTTCTTATCGCATGGTTATTATGATAAGCACTTTAGACTGATAACACTTCATTTCACTTGGTCTTTTGTCTTCCCGGTGCAAAGCACTTAGAAAAGAAGAAAGCTCTTCCGCCTCCATCTCCATTTGTGCGTTTCTTTCTTTCTTTGCTGGAATCTCTATTCAGCCACCGCAGCCCTTTTCTTTCTTTTCTAGAATCTCATTCCTATCTGGTCTTCTTATAAAGAACCATCGGAATGTCTGCTACTGGTAGCTTCAGTTTTTCTTTGTTCACATGCAAATGCCCAAATACCAGTATACCATGGCAATCTATGATGGGTTACCGTGTAACCCTAAATTTAGGACTCAACATCTTAACACTAATAACGTCAAGTCACATGTGAGTGTGCCAAAGAGAGATGGTGGGTTTTGTAAGTAGGGGTGTACATTGGACGGGATTTGGTCCGGTCTGATCCAATCTAAAACATTTTGGACCAGTCCAATTCAATGTATAGACTGTCCAATCTATTCAAATTGGTTTTAATTTAGATTGGTTCTAACCTAAATTTGATCTATCGACACCTGTATTCTTATTTTCTACCAATGGATTGGATATTGATTGGATCCAGCACAATTCAATATAAATTCATTGGAGACGGACCATGTCCAATCCAATCGAATCCAATAAATACATTGGATTATTAAATTTGAACTATTCCAATTCAATATCTTATTGATCTATCCAATCCGTCCAAATTGATTTTAATTTGAAAGAGGTAGAACTGAAAAATGGACCCTAAGAAAAGAATATGGAAATTTATTAAATGGGGAAACATAATCATGTTATAAAGTTGTTCACATCAATAACATAGCAAATCCTTAGGGGAATAAAAAACAGAAAGCATGTTGTTGATGAAGTGAACGTTGGAATTTAGAACTCTACTTAAACAATTGATGGACAATGATACTTGAATGGATACAATCAACCAGAAGCAAAATTTTATTAAATGCTCAGCTTTAATTTTAATAAAAAACATATTTTTATATTAAAAAAATGGTTTACAAGGTAATGTCAAGTAACCTAGTGAGTAGTGACACCTTAATTATTAGGCAAGTTAGATAAAGAAAAATAAAGAAAACATGATCTAAATGAATGATTAATGGTGCTGCCTCAGGTTTATTATAAAGGCAAAGTTAGTGAGGATAATAATAAACAGCTCGGCTCAGTTTTTTTTTTTTTTGAGGGCCAAGGGTCCCTACTTTACGTGGACAACCGAGGCTGGAGCTGTAAATGGATCGGATCTGATTCGGAACAGGATGTATCACAATACCAGTGATATGAAAGATGTATAACCAGGACAATTGGATTTGACCCAATTAAACTTACTTATACTTGATATTTATAATTATCTATGACAATAAATGTGTAACTTTATTTTTGATAACCTAATCTTAATTCTTAACAAAAATATGCAATAAAATATTAAACTGTTTATATTAATATGTTGGTAAAAACTAAAAAGAGTATTTTTAACCAAAATTATCTTATACACTTTTTATGAAATTTACCTTTTTTTTAACATAAAATATTACAAAAATTACAAGAAACCCGTATATATTTAACAATATATATTTGGCCCGTGACTAAACTGATTGAGAACGGAAAAAATCAGTCCAGAGCCAATTCTTAGTCAGGAGAAAATCACATAACCAGAAATTTCAAAATCGGTTTGATCAATTCGGTTCTATCGGATAGATCCGACCCATTGACAGCACTGAGCCAATCCAGGAGGTTACTGGTTTGATGTTTCATCTCATCTACTGGGTCCGATCCTGGGTATCCAGGTCCGTGCCACGTGGGTGTTAATAAATGGAGCCGCACTTTGATTGCCGTGGAAGTGGAAATCTGTAAATATATATAAATATAGATCACTTCAGAGCCGCAAAGTTTGACGTGTAGCCGAAAGCAGCATACGGAATAAAGAATGGGGATGGGAGGTGGGAAGTCTGGGGTTGGATGGGTCCCACAGGCCGCAGTAATCATGTCCTTCCATCCCACGCTTGCATGCACAAAAGGAGGATGGTGGGGTAGCAATGGCATCTCACGCTGATGCCACGTCTTTGTCACGCCCACCCTCTGTCTACGTGGCGCCCTCTGAAAAGCCAGGAAGCTTCCTAACTTCTGTCGGCTACCCTATTACTCCCTTTCTCTGCTCTCCTCAGTACTCCCCCCTCCCAACCCTGAACTGAAGCCCTACTCTTCTTTCTTTTCTTCTTCTCCTCCTCTTCCGAAATCCAGACGGATTCCCCGACATCAATCAAGTTGGGCATTAAACTTCTGGGCTGAGCTGAGCTGGGCTGGCCCAGTTTATCAAAAGTTCTCTCTCTCTCTGCATAAGTTCATATTTTGCGGCATGTGGAAAATCAGGTTAATTGAATGGGTGGGACTCACGTCATTCTGATCGTCTTTTAGTCTGCCAATTCGTGGACCGAGTGATCCAGCTCTGAGATCTCATGTGTTGCTGGATTTGTTGATTTGATGGCGTTACTTGTCGTTACATATATATTTGTCCTGCCTATTCACTCAAATGATTCAACCCAGCTTTTTATTCGTTTGTATTACTTTAAGGTCCGTTTGGTTTATAGTCGAAATCGAAAATAAAATTCTTGAAATTAAAATCAGTTAGAATGGGATTTCATGGGGAGGCAATGGTCATTCCCTCAAATGAGGGAATACCATTCTACTAGATAGGGATGGCAACTTTCACCATTCCTAATGGATACTTGACTTTCCCCACCCCATTGGGTCCAGGATGGGAATTTGCTTTGGCGGGTGGAGACAGAGATGTGGATTAATAGGGATCCCCAATTGGGGTCGGGATGAAGAATGAGGTCTCTGCCCCGTTTCAACCCTGATTTTATATATATATATATATATTAAATATTATGCATATGATATTACTTATATTATATATTTAAAATATCATTTATATTTTAAAATTTTTATTTATTTTAAGTAAAATTATTTTTCAGAAAATGCTATTAAGTAAAAATTTTGAGGATTCGGATCTCCATTGAGGATTGGGGATGGAGGACATTTTTTGTCCCTAACAGGGATCGGGGTCGGAGATTTATTCTAAAATTGGGGTTGGGGATGGAAAATATGATCCCCACCCAGTTGTCACTCCTACTACCAGAAATGAAAATGGGATTCTACTTCCACCCAACCAAACAGTTGGAATCTGAATGACCCATTTTAATTCTGAGTCTTGACCTTTATTCCTGAGAACCAAACAGGCCCTTGAAGGTTTCGGGGGACCAGCGTATATATGAGTTTGCCTTATAATAACGCTCTCATTGAGTAATTTCATGACGATCAACACAATCACAATTGTAGTGTGTTCAGTCGTGATTCAGCAGATCTCAGTTCTAAGACGGATCCTTCATGCAACTTGAAAAAGAACTCAATCTGGTAGGCCCTACAAAAGGTTTATAAGTTTCTTAGCAGTGGCTGACAACCACCTCTGGATGGATCTGATGGGCCCATCCAAATTCAAATCTCATATTGCAGAGATACACGTAAAGAAAAAGAAATGGGGGAAGAAGCTGTAAGAACAATAGATAGTCTTTATGAACCCCTGGGCCTGGCCCCGGCAAATTATCTTTTAATAAAGTTTTCCATGAAAAGAAGATTTTGTTCTTGTTACACTGTTTTTATACAAACCCACAATATCTTAGTCGTTTTCATATGAAGATCGTACGGAGATTTATTTTTTCATGGATCCAACAGCACGCTTGATCATTCATATGCTCCCATTGCATTATATTAGAAGGCTTTCGACTAGATTTCCTGTATTTTCTCTTTTGATAAAGATAAATTAGTAAAGCATGTTGTGTATTCAATAAAAGAACAATGATTTTATTTACTTTTAAGAATTCTTTGATTGGATTATCTCCTTTTTCTTTTAGTCATGTGACCACACCATATTTGTTAAAATTCTTGGATTTTAGACAAAATTTAATCATCATCTTATCTTTTAGGAATGGGGATTCGTGCGATTAAAGTGCAAATTGTTAAAAAGGAAAAAGAATTAGATTCAGTAGAGCATATGATAGATATATAAAAGTCTTGTTAAAGAAAATTTAGAATGGTCTGTTCTCATACTCTATTTGGTTCAAACAGAATTTGAAATAAAAATTGGAATGAGACTTCATTCCCAAAGAAAGGGGAAGGAATGACCATTCCCTCAATGGGGAATGCCACTTCATCAAGAATAATAGGAATATGATAATTCCGCTCAACTAAAAAGTTGAAATTGAAATAACCCATTCCCGTTCTGATTACAAACCTCTATTTTCACGAATCAAATAGGCCTTTAAATATTTTATATGTTAAAAGACTAAACAATAAACCATTCAGTTCAGCCATTATCAAAGGGGAATGGTTAATTTAGATCAGAACCACTTTCTCGTCTTGATCTGGGTTACTAATTGCCTTTTGTTTAATTTCTCCAAATTAGCAGAAGATATTTTCCCGAATTAAATTAAAAATATTATTATATTTAGTTTTTGAAAAAATGCATATAAGGAGACAATAGTTTTTATTTTATATTTTGTTGATATGACATGTTTAAAAAATAAAAACAGAAAAGTAGAGACGTTCTTATTGAAGAACGTCCCTTGAAATTTTCCAAAGAGATACTTTTAATTTGGGGTCAACACTAAATTTAATGTGTATGTGTGTTAAGGTATCTGAACAGGGCCCCAACTTTCTACCTTTTGTCTGTTGACACAATCGACCCATCCTCCTTGGTATGTCAATTCTGTTCTGTCGTTTCAGATTGCAGAAGGCTCTTGCATTTTAATCCCGTATTCTCAGTGAAGCATGCCAACAGGTTACAATAAAGTTGCACATACTTCAGACAATTACAGATGTATGGCTGGTCCCATGGACCCCCACTCTCAGTCGTCTCAGCTGCATACGTAATGAACCAATATTGCCTGCAGCTGCAGACGATAACGCAGTTAATAAGTCACCTTACCCATTGATAAGAGTAGTAGTGACACATTGACAGTTTGGTCTAAGCCCTTTTAAAGAAAAAGTTTGATTTTCATTAATTATTATTATTCTGGAACTTTCTACTACTCTTATCAGGCATGCACTGAGCAGGGATACAGGGATACAGGATACTGTTACATCAGCATGTGTGAAGAAAAGTTTAAATCGTCCCATGTCGGGTTTCTCTTCATGCAAATTCAGCTACACAACTCCTTAACTTTCTTGAACGTACGTGTCCCAAGGGGAGAGAGAGAGAGAGAGAGAGTTTTCCTGTTTTGCTGAAGGGTCGCACAGCAAATACTCTAGGTTTCGGTGGGACTGGGGGATGGGAGTGTTGCTCGTCGTGGTCGCCAACTTGCATGGCAGAACCACAAATTTGTCATCCACGTACATGACAGAGTGTTTGTGCTTGTTCATCGACTCGCGAGTCGCGACTCACTTCCTATTATCGTATCATGATATGGAGTTTGGAGTGTAGACAAACCGTAAATACCCTAATAGCTAGACAACTGTAGATGTTACAGAAGTCGCACACGCACAGCAGAAGGACCACACGGCGCGACCACTTGTCTGATAAGACAAACATTAATGTTTGGACGATCCACAAACAGAGAGGGAGAAGAATACGAGCAAATGACATGACCAGAGCAGAAAGCTCCGAGAGCCGCAGCTCCGCCTGCCGTCAAGTATAATTCTCTGATCATCAGCTAGCGCCTCCCAGGCTCCAGCAACTTCCAACTCATAAAGCACACTTGGAAATTAGAATTTAGACGACAGGGTCGTCGTCGTCGTCGTCCCAATTCGGTCATGTTGATCAGCTGGTCATGCGGATCGACCAACCTTTCTTTAATTTTTTTACTTTACAGCCCCACCGAAGCTTCTGCGTATATGAGGCAACTCATCTCATCTCAACCAACTCCTAGTTGGATTCAACCTATGATCCGGATCAGGAATTCGGGTACCCGCCTCCTATATCTATATATGCTAATCGTTCCTATATAATTATTACTATACCAAGTCCAGAACGTGTGTGGTTGTACTAGAGACTAATTAAAGATCTAGTTTCATTCCAAACCCTTGTCATCAAGTCAAGCTCAGGGTCAGGGGGAGCCTTGCATTGTTTTCAAGCAACGGTTGCAAATAGAAGGTTTGGCAGAGATTGATCATGGCTCTTTAGACTTTGCAGGGGTCTCTTTTCTCTTTATTTCCGACTCCTTTCTTTCTTTTAGTTTTAGGTGGCGTTGGCAGCAGCAGAAGAAGCACGTCCCCCCTCCCCCCACCGTTCATCTTGTCAGAAAGAAAGAGAGAAAAGCTAGCTATATATATATATATATATATATATCGAGTCTGTCTGTCTCGACGCCTCTATCTCGCTCAAAATCTGATGATCCAGTTCTTACTTTAGCCGACTTCCATGACCATTTTTATCTCCACCTTTGAATTTTATTATTGAATGCTTCCTGGTTTCCCACCTATCTATATTCTGTATAAAAATACCAGGTTGACGTCAAAAGCCCCTAACACGTTGAATTGGATACATCTAGATCCAAGTTTTGATTCATTTATATATCATTCGGATTCAAATAAAATCTTATTCATGCATTGAACTTGTATTGCTTTCGAATATTGGGTTCCATTAATAAATTAAACTAATTAAAAAATTATATATACTAATATAAACTGAATTTGGATTATTGACTTTGGTATTGCGTATTATATAAAATGAATTGAACAGATAGGGGTGGATTCATATTCGATCCAATTATGAACAGATTGAAGCTGTTTGATCCTTAACCTGGATTTGAATTGAATTTTGACAAGCGGATACTGTTTGCAGATGGCTGCATGTGTACATACTCTATCACTTGAATATACATACTTCAGTCAGTTCACCAACATAACTTTCCTTATTTTCTGATGATTGCTGGTTCTCTCTAATTGTTTAATTTAACCAGGATCAGCCTATCCACCGGTCTAACCAGGTTTACCGACCTTGACGTCGGTCTAGCACTTAAAGCACGTGATGCATTTACATGCAGAATAACTGGACCCCACATCATTTCACTATGTCATTGATCGTCCTCTCTGCTAAGATCCTAAACATTATTTATCTGATTAAATTCTTTCAAGTAACAAACCGAACCAATTAATTGAGAGGGGGAAACGACTGCCCCTTTACGCTTTATCAGCGCAGGACGTCTGCATATTGGTGAAACTGAAATCGTGAATGTTGGTATTCTCTCTCTCTCGTTGCACTTCTGAACCTTAGCCTTCTTTTGGTAATCTTGTGAGATCAAAAACGCATGGACCAAAAAAAAACACAATAACTTAAGACGAAGAATGGAATTAATCCTCCAAGGAAGATGTTTAACAAGAATCCCGTACAATAATACTGAATGAGCATAAACCAAATTCCTTACATCTCACTCGCTAATCTATTGGGTCTCTGCTGTTTGATTCCCTCCGCTGATCAGGAAGCTCAGAACTAGAAGAAGAGCTTCCGAAGTGCGATGAAAAGCTCAGAAGATCTTGCTGTTGTTGTTGAGAAAGCACCGAAGTTGACGACAACGACGACCAAGACGTTGTCCAAGAATAAGACGGCAAAACAAGGGATTCCGGATTGTATAGATTCGAGGCAATGAATGGTAGATCTTCGTCCCTACTACAAAGAAGTTGGGCGTACTGAAGGAGGTCTGGGTACATTTCCTGTGACAGAGAAGGAGCAGGAGCAGGAGCAGAAGGAACAAGGACCTGGTTAGGAAGAGCAGCAGCATGGCTAGAGTCATGGCGGCCTAGTACGCAGCCCAACCCAGTCCTGCCTTGCACTCGCTCAGGAAAATTAAGCTTGGCTTTGGTTCCTTTAAACTTGAGTGCTGCCTCGTCATAAGCGATGGCTGCACTCTCGGCCGTGTCAAAAGTACCGAGCCACACTCGAGCTGCCTTCTTTGGGTCACGTATCTCCGCTGCCCACTTTCCCCATGGTCTCTGCCTTACTCCTCTGTAATGTCTTCTCCTCGAGTTCCCTTCACAGATATATATTATCGTTAAGTGTCATTCATAGCAAGAGAGAGAGAGAGAGAGAGAGAGAGAGAGAGAGAGAGAGAGAGAGAGAGCATGGCGCACACAGAATGGAACTAGAGAATTTGAGTACACTCACAATTTGATTTTTTTTTTTTTTTTTCCTGCTTCTCCAAACTAGCTAGAAAGCTCGATATACCTCCACAGAAACTAGAGAAACAAGAAAGCATGGCGCACACAGACAAAACTAGAACTAGATAGACCTAGAACCCGTTCACCCAATACTTTGAGAATAAAAAAGAAGATTCGTTTCCATTTGGGCTAAATGAGAGAAGCTAGAATTACATATACCTGATAAAAAATGGCCAATTGATCATTTTTATGCCAAAGGAGGAAAAAAAACTTGGTAGGTAGTGGAAATGGTATTTTGATTTCAGCAATTTTTCTTTATAATTAATTAACTTGTGACTATGTGAGAGATAATTAGATATGTATCTAGGGTTTTCATAACAATAATTAACAAGACACGGTACCTTGATCCTGAGTAGGTGGTTGAGAAGGGTCCAGCTCTCTCATGCCGGATTCCGGCACTTTTAGTGGGTTTGCTTGCACCTGGGCTGACTTTTCATCAGCGGGGCCGATGACATGGGCTAGGGAAGACACCATGGCCGATATATCTTGTTCAGAACGAGCGGAGGAGTAGGCGGAGAAGATGTCCTCTTCCTTTTTCTCCTCCGATGCATCGGAAGGAAGAGGCCTCTTCCCATATCTCCGATCCACCTTTCTAAGCTTTGGGAACGGCTAGCGGAGACACCACCAACCACTACTTTCTTTTGTGTGGCGCTAGCTAGTCCATCACAACATCAATCTGATCAGTCTTGCAGTCACAACATATACCGGATAGATGATTAAAGAATCAAACGAATAGAAAAAGAAGAAGATCTGGAATGATAATCACGGCCGAGGGGATGGCTGAAGAAGAAGAAAGAGAGAGTGAGGGAGAGAGATTGTAAGAAGGAAAATAGGGTTAGCGAGGGGGGTTTTATTAGGGAACGTTCGAGCCACAGTTGTATCAGTCTTAGCTTTTGGTGGTGTGAAGAGGAAGAGTTTATTTATGTATTTAATTGAGATGATCGCATCTCTTTTTTTTTTTTTTTGGGGGGGGGGTTTTCATCTCTCTCTCTTCTGCTGTATATATTTTCTTTGACTCCTGGTCTCGTGCCGTGTCTTTGTTCTCTTCCTACTTTTGTCTTTTCGTCCCCTTTGCTTTCTTTCTCAAAATAAATCTTCATCTTTCATGCTTTGCTGAGTTTGCTCTGATCGTCAGCTGCCGAGTCGATCTTTAATTTGGTTTATATCTTGTCACAAATAGGGTGTAAACGGATCGAATTCGAACCGAATAGTACAATATCCGAATCCGAATCCGATTTAAAAAATCTGATATCCGAATTCGAATCTGTTTTTTTTTTTTTTTAATATGATATCCGAATTCGATTTGATATTTGACGGATATTGAAAATTAATATCCAAATTCGAATCCCATTAAATATTCAAATATTTGATTCAATTTGAATTYGATTAATTAATTATTTTAGATAATTAATAAAAATTTAAAATAAAATATTTTATTGATATAAAGTATATAAATTATTATATATAACTTAATTATATATATATATATATATATAACTTAATTATTATATATAAATTATTTTTTATATTTTATATATTATATATAAGAATTAAATAATCGATCGAATTCGGATATTTATCGAATCAAATCAGGTCATATCTAAATTTGAATCCGATTAACTATTCAATAAGAATAGGATATCCGAATTTGACCGATTAGATATTCAAATGATCTGAATTCAATTCAATTATATCAAATATAAAATTCGAAATCGGATTCCACAAAAATAAAAAAAAAGAAGGAAGAAAAAAAATTAAAGTAGCGTTTGGTTTGGTCGTTTTAAATCTAAGAAGTAGACGTATTAACTAAGCAGTAAAACATGCAAACACGCATTAACTAAGAAGTAGACGTCCATATAAATAAATATATATATTCTTCCTCTTGACGTATGTGGGTTCATTACTTCACTGTCACTGAAGCTTGCATTAAACTTTCGTTGACGGTAGTAGGAATGATACCCTTTTTGGGAAACCCAGGAATCAGGCATTTTTCCATGAATGAATAGCCAAAATTTAATATTTGTAAATTAGATGCAATTTACCAGTCTCAAAGCTCGATTGGCTGGATCCAGATTGATAGGCTGGATTATTCTTGGTTAGATTGTACTTTGTCCGATTTGGTTCGGTCATTCGTTTGCTTGATAACAACTTGGACCATATAATAGTTGAAAATTCCTGCCAGTTGACTCAGTATTCATTATATAATTTTTCATTTATTTATTTTGTTTATTAGTATATTATCTAAAATTCATTATGATTTTTTCACATCTTTCTTCAATTTATTGTCACTTTTCAAAAACTTGAAGATAATTCTCCTATCACTGAGTTCTTTCGTTAGGATTTTTGTTAGATCGCCATTAGTGATCATTGATAGAGATTATCTATATAAGCATTTAAAAGCTACCCTTAAAATGCCCAATCAATCTTATTAAATATTTTATGAACTGCCCAGTGAGTTAATCGAGTCATGGATATTGAGGGTCATCACTCAAGCTTTTCAGTTTTAAACAGTTAAATACCTGATAATGGGGTGTTGGACAATCTGGGTGTTTTTGTTTTAGTTTTTTCTCAAAATTACTGTTCCAGTAGAAAAACAAAAAACACATCCACTAATTTTTTTTTATTTTATTTTGAGAAGTGAAACTAAGATATGTTTTTAAAACCATGGAAATTATTATTATTTTTAAACAAAAACAAATGTTCACTCTTAAAACGTTTGAAAACAAAAAAATGGATATAAAATCAAGAACATGTTACTATATATGATTTTTGTTTTGAGAAATAAAATGGTTTCCAATCAGATACATAGATAGTTTTGATTTGTTTATAGAAGATGGTACAAGAGAAAAACAATTCACCTTGAAAAAACGCCCCTAGATCCCATAATGGGTGTAAAACAATGGACTAAGTTGAGTTGGTGATTGACATATAGAAAATATTAATTTCAAGAGATGAGCTAGCTAGGTGGGGATCTTCCAGGGTTGGGTGCCATGGACCAAGCATGTGCACCATGTGTTTGTGCCAGGCCAAACATGCAAGTGATAGAGACTTGCCATCTTTCTTTTCTTTGTTCTTTAAACCGATAAAATTCCTACCTTATAAGATGATTACAAGTGTATAATTGACCAGTGCACTTCTCAAATTCTTATGACTTTTGTAGAGAAGAGATTTCCTACAACTCTGCTCATATACAACCCCCAATAAAATATAAACACGTAAATATTTTAAACGAAACACTAATTGATGTATGTGATGTTTCATTTTTTCTTTGAAACACTGAGATGTGTTCACATTTTATTGAGGGTCTCCATATTATCTGGTCGCAGGAAATGTGATCTCAACCTTATATACTTATATCCCCCCCCACCCCCTCTCTCTAGATCGATCTCTCTCAATCACAAGCAAAGGTTCACGTGGAGATGCCTCCTGAAATGCTGCAACAAAGACAGTAATTTGAAACCCTTCACATGCCATCTATATATCCTCTGATATAAGGCCAAAAGCTTCCAATAGTTGGAATAGAGTCCCTAATTAATAATAAAATGATAATAACAGCAGGAGATAGCATGTATCAAGGCTTCATATATTCTCAAATGATTCATTTATTCTGTCTCCGACAGGGCCATGACCTTGGGCTTCATGCCGTTTTCAAATTGACTTTGTCAGGTGTAACATGTGAGTATGCCATATAATAATCCGGGTCTTTTAATTTGCCCACTTTGGGTGCCTGAATCCCCTTTTCTTTCAACTTAATTTCATAGATAAGCTATCTTAATCCCTCTCTCACATGCCAATCTCTACCATGTTTTTGACCATATCTTCTTCTTTCTTATATATTCTACTAGTTATGGCGCTGTTAGTGCTCGGATCCATCAGCTGATAAACATGGGGATTGGGTCTTTCTGCTCTATTTACTTATTTATTTTATTTTATTTTGAGTCCGCATTTTCAGCCACAAGACCCGAACCCATTCTGATAACTTCATATAATAAGTCCAAAAATTGTCAATTTATCATTAGATATATCGAAGATAGTTTGAAAAGAGAGATATACAATTAGGATTCAACTCTGATATTGGAAAATTTTATTACCAATTAATTAGTATCATAAAAATAGTATTTATAAAAATACATAGAGTTTTGATTAATTGGTCAAAGCTATCCCAATATCATACCTTTCTGGCATCATTGATTTACAAATAAAATGATCAGATTTATGGTCAAAATAGCAAACTAGAGGTATGCCAGTTATAATTGGATTCTAAACGATAAGTTTGATTAATAAATAAATAATATCCTTTTATAGTGTGGCTGTGGGTAAGGGTGTCAATGGACTGGTTTTGAATTGGACCCCATCCAATCCAAAATCAATTTGGATAGATTGGACAGACCAATGAGACATATGGGATTGGATCAATCCAGACCAAAATATTTAGGGAAAAGTACGGAAACACACAATGCAGAATTCTGAATTCCAGCCCCCCCCCCCTATAAACCATATCCTGCCCGTGAATTTGGCATCAATTCACGGTCAGGATGCATTCCCCCTGTACTTTGGGCCTAGTAAATTCTGATCTGGGTTGATTAGTACTTCTCCCAAATATTTATTAGATTGGATTGGACCTGATTCGCCCGTAATAAATTTATATTGGATTGTGTTGGATTAAGCCAATATCTGATCCATTGATATAAAATAAGAATATATGTGCCAATGGACCGAATTCAGGTTGAAATCAATCTAAATTAAAATAAAATTGAACAGATTAGACGGTCCAAACATTGAATTGAACCGGTCCAAAATGATCCAAAATATTCATTGGATTAGATTGGACCTGATCCATTTATAATGGAATCACATTGAACTGGACCGGATTAGACCAAATCCAGTCCAATTAACACCCCCTATTGTGGGTGTGGGTTAGACTAGTTTTATGCGTTAAAGTTGAAGTTATTGGCTTTAACTTGATACATGACCCAGGCCCAACCTACTGAAAGATATCTTCCTCCAAACACCAATTAACCATTTTACTGTCACCGTTACGCTTCAATGTTAAAATTTAGAAAGCATGTAATCGATGGCAACGGCTGCTATTAAGATGGTCATGTCAAACTTTTAATCTGCTTCCTCCATTTCTGCCACAATTCAGGCTTTTTTTTTTTTTAATAAATTGCCGAAACCTCTTGACCTAGCTGAAATCTCCCCCGCCTCCTATTAACTTTTTAATACAGTTGCAAGTATACCATCTTAACAAGAGTACCCATGCAATTTCTATTAAGACTGATTCATACAAAAAATAATACAAACTTTATAAACAATAAGAAATAGATAAATTTAAAGTTGCAGCTTTACCTTGAGCGATAAAATTAAAAAAAAAAAAATTGGAAGGGTTTGGAAAAATAAGTGATTGATATGAAAAGAAAAATTAGAAAATAAATATTTTTATTAAAAGTAATTGTATGGGTATTCTGAATATTTTTATACATCTATTTAGAGGAATCTAATGGATCTACCATCAGAGTAGACTGCTTGCAATCATGTCAAAAAGTTCAAGAGAGACGATTACAATTACCAAACTTTAGAAGAAGTTTCAACAACGATCATGAAAGATT